GGGCTGTCAATCACTGCTCCGGGAGGACTGGTTCATGTGTTGCTTTTTTGTCCTAAGCACATTCTGAGTTTAACTGGTCCAATTAGCTAATTTGCTAATTAGCTCATTTGCTTTCAAACTGAATCGTTTCCCATAATATACTGTACAAAAATATTTAGGTAGCAGGGACAACTGCAGCTGTATCTATCATGTTATTGAAAAAAGCCAGAACAAGTAAATGATTAGCAAAAAAGCAGCATACACACTGACCCTGCAGGAACTATTTTCATCTAAGTAGTCAGGTCACAATAATCATGCAATGCAAACCCTTGTTGGTATTTGATTATGAAAGGCTGATTTAATAACTGGGTTTGTGACATCATAAAGGGTGTATCAGGCAGCATGTGCTGTTTTGTATAGTTGAGAGCAGTGCCACCAACTCTCCCACTAGCACCTTGCTCCAAACACACCCCCCCCCTCCCCCAATACAACAGTCACTGAAGCTTTGATGATTATGTGGCAGCCTTGGGCAAAACCAGTGTGACACACCACAAATTCGTCAGAAAAGGAGCCAAAGCTCCAGCTCTTGTGTTTAAGAGCGACAGGGCTGAAAGCCAGAGCAGAAAACTCTGCAGCACCCTGGGACTGCAGTAATCCATCCCTGTCACCAATCTCCACCCCACCCCCCCGAGTTCCAGTCATCGCAAAAAAGACTCAATGAGGACAGGTAATGAGTCACTCACCCGGGAGCTCTGATCTGTGAGGTCGTGAGGTTGTGAGGTCGTGGGGTCACGGGGTCATAGGTTTATATCCTGAGGAAGACACCTCTATATATCTCCTGACCAGGTAACCTCATAAAGACTGCTCTAATTTAATTAGGTCTCTATTTATGGATGCCAGAATAAGTACTCGGAAGAAAACCAGTGCAGACCTAGACACCCTTTATAAATCAGTCTTTATAAATAAGTCCTTATTTATATGTCAGAAAAAATTAATCTGCTGTAACAGCAAGAGACTCTGTACTGTTCAATAACACCGGACTCCAGACTGTTTCAGAATGTGGTGCGGTGTCAGTTTCTGTAGTCAAACAAAATGACTATCAACACCGGGCTCCTTTCTGTCTAACAACATCAGGCTGTGTTTGGTGCCAGCACACGGTGTGGTGTTAGTTTCTGCACATCTCTACCAGGGACAGGTGAGTCTCTTGCCGTAATGGTTTAATAGTGAAATCTGTGTTGAGACAGCTCTCATGACCATGATGTCACCGTGGACCTACTGCTGCCAAAACTGTAACCCCAGCTCCAAGGTCTGTCAAGCTACCCCCATTCCACAGGATTACTGATATGTGCCTCAGGGGGCCAGAAAAAAAAAAACAGGGCCATTGTTAGTTTCACGTAAAATTTAGACAAACGAGCTTTAAAGAGAGATAAGATGCAAAGGTTGACATTTGAGGAACTATATTGGTGGAGTAGGTTGGTTTGTGACACACAGGTGGGCCATGGACAGTGACCAGGAAGCAATAACAACCTCTCCATCAGCTTCAAGGACCCTGGGAGAAATGCGAACAGCATAGTGTGTCACGCAGTCAGAGAAGCTCCCCAATTAAGTGCTTAAGAAGTCCTCTGACAGTCAAAGCAGAGAGAATGACAATGCAGAGGGAGAGCAGAGAAGAAAAGCCGATTCTTACAAGAGCCGTTCCACTGTCGCCTCCCCGGTAGGAGGTGTAGGGGGCGCCGTCAAGTGCCTTGCGCTCACGTTAAGCGCTCGAGAGACGCACAAAATTCTGACTGAGTGGTTTAAATAGCCCTACACAAAAGCTTAATCTCTCGGACAACCCGAAACGCACAGTCTGCATCACAATTATCTAGGAAATTAGGTGAAGAGGGAGCGAGGGAGAAAAGGTGCTATTTTTAAACACGGCAGGGCAGCCCCCCTGCTGCCAATCCGTCAGCAATGTCCTGAGCTGAACTGAAGTCCTCTGTGTTATCATTTAAAAAAGAAAAACAGAACAGCAGAGGCTCTAAATGGGGCTGAATGCAGTGGTCTCTCTGTAGAGTACCATCCAGTTAACATAATTGAAGAGTCATCAGATGAGGCGCTGGGGCCTTCCCAATCAGCACTGATTTTATGAATGCAAGTTTGGCCCCCACACCAGTACCACACCTCAGAGCCAATTCCGCCACACGAATAAAACGGCACGCAAAAATATCACACGCTGTTCTTTAAAAATGCGTGCGAAGGGCCTTCACTTCCAGGATCCTCCACCCTCATCCTCTTCCTCTGAATGAAAACATTAACCCGGGGCACGGTGGGAAGTCCCGTTTAGCAGCGGAGCTGAACTCTGCACTCAGGCCAGCCGCTCTGTGCTGCTGTGCCTGCTCCAGCCCAGTGGGTAAACATTGTACTGCAGCTCCACACAGTCTGCTCTGCAGAAATGCAGGGCCTTTGACCATAACCCGACCATGCTTCTTTCACAAAGCTACGCTCTTTGTCTCTCTGTGAATATGTGGCTTAAAAGCATAAAGTCTTCACATTTCTCTGTTGCTGTTTTCTGACAGTCGATGAGGCAAAATGTTCTACCTCCATTCTGCTCGGATTAAGGACAATGTCCAACAGCCCAGCAAACACCGGGAGTCAGAGATGTGGCTTGTTTCGGGAACCAGACAGTTCACGGTTTTTAAGCTGAAGTCCAAAAAAGAAAGGGACCAGTACATGGAGGATGCAAGGAGACTCAAGAACAGAGGGAGAGACAGGCAGAGGGAGAGGTAAAGAGAGGGATGAGAGAAAGAGTGTGATGGAGGAGTGAAGGAGAGGGACAGTTTTCATTAACGGTGTCACCAGACCAGGCACTGCCAAAATTTATGTCACTGCTGCTGTGTTATGCTCACAGGAGATAACCGATCTGACATCAGTTATGATGAGGTGATGAGAACGACTTCTCACCTACAATTTCCAGTGGGTTGAAAGACAGGAACACATCAATCTTCTCTACGCACTCCCATGTCATTAAATCTTAAACTGAGTCATTTTCAATTACCTGAGGTGCTTCAATATCCCAGATTAGCTATGTATTCATCAGATGCTGTCATGGCAGACAAGCAGATTTGCTGAACAAAACCCTGTCAGAATGTATACAAGACAGGACAAATGGAAATCTACGTAAAATGCAACCAAAGCTTCTGAAGTCAAAGTGTCATCTTTGAGCATGTCTGGTTGAACGTGTTTGTGAAGTATATTACCATCTTAGCTAACCACACGAGGCCTTAAACTTTTTTTTTTTTCATAAAGATGCTGTAAAAGGACCCTGAATGGCAGGCGTGCTTTCTGTAAGCAAGGGAGCCACTGCTTTACGGGGCTTGTACAAATGTTCCCTCAAACCCTCAGCACACTCCCAGGAAACTTATATTAGCCTCTGTCTGCTAACCAATGTCAGGTTGCAGCTCTGTGAAGTTCAGCACTAAGTCTGTTAGGCTAGGGACAGTTAGCACAGTCAGACCCATGATTCAACACCCATCTTTATAGCCCCACTCCCCATAAATCCAGCATGCAGCAAACTGCCCCAATTCTGCCCACTGGCTGTTCATTCCATTTTTATTTCTCTGCTTGCAGTAGCATGTAGCATAGTACAGAATGAGACCATTTCAAAGGACTGCTGCTTCTGTATTTACTGGTTTACACGTGAACATTAAGGAAGGGGACTGACCTCTAGGTCTTTTCAGTGACTGAAGGTCAAATGTTCAGTGAGTGAGTGTATACTTCAAGTAGAATGTATCAGTCTGTATCTCTTTTGAAAGAGATGCAAGCAGCACACAACTGGAAATTCCTCTCTGAAATCAACCCCTAAGTGCCTTTTTCACCAAAGGGGTAATGGTTATGAAATAACCACACCCACCTCTCTCTCTCTTTCTCTCTCTCTCACACACACACACACACACACACACACACCACACATTTTTGTGCATTAAGCAGGAAGAATCCCATAACACCACAATGCTTAGGCGTGGCCAGTTCCAGTATGGCTCTAATATCGTTTCCTCACTCTATAATGATGTGAATTGGGAACAGACCGGCAAACAAAAAAAGAACAGGAAGCGACAGAGTGAAGTGACAATGCCAGGGCTGATCAGATCTCCCAGGGCCAGCATCACCATCACCACTACTACTTCCCTAAACAGGGAAACAGGACAGCTAATGGAAGACAGCTAACAGTCTCCACACAGGCCACACAGCAGCCATTTGTTGTTTGTGTGTGTGTGTGTGTGTGTGTGTGTGTGTGTGTGTGTGTGTGTGTGTGTACATGTAAGACAGAGTGAGGTAGATAAAACAGAGGGAGACTGTGCCAAATAAGTGTCGTGCTCAGAGATAACATATTATTCAAGAAGACAAAGGCAATTATCAGCTATCATTATCCGCCCTCGTAATTTTCACACACCGGTACCTTAATCCAAATGAGCGTAGAGGCAGCGAAGGCTGTCTGCGCAGGGCTTCCAGTCGGTTTGTTTGTTTGTTTGTGTGTGTGAGCGGAGCGGGCCCAGATGGGGCTCCCCCCTTTGCTCGGAGCAGGAGCAGATGCGCTCGGCGGACTCTGGGGAACAGTGTGTTTGGGAAGGTGGAGGAGGGCAGGAGCGAGGAGAGAGAGAGGCGGGCTCGGATTCCTCACACGTGGGCGCGCTTCGGTATAAATAGCACAGGGGGTTACGGGCGCCGGTCCAGCCGGCTCGCGGGACCGACCGCACTCAGACCCCTCTCCCCGAGGGGCTGTCTCGCACATCACTACCAACAGGGCCGTGTGCCGGAGAGCAGGAGTCAGCGCACACAGCTAAAATGGTATTATACTGCACACAACAAAACATTTAACATCTTATTATTTGCATTAAATTACATTGTATTATTGGCATTTAGCAGACGTTATTATCCAGTGTGACTTACACAGGTTGCAATTTCACGTTGCCCATTTATACAGTTGGATATTTACTGGGGAAATTCTGGGTTAAGCACTTTGCCCAAGGGTACAGCAGCAATGCCAGTGGGGAATCGAACCGGCAACCCTTCGGTTACCAGCCCAGCTCCTTACCACTGTACTACACAGCCGCCCCTATTTCAACTGCCACATTTTTCGGTACACAAAATCTAACACCACATTATTCACTGCATTAACTGCAATAGCATTACTTGCCAAACAACACATCTTGTGATTTAATTCAGTTACTATAACACATGTCACAGAGAGTGAGCCAATCAGACACCAGCACTAACATCACACATGACAGGGTGCAACAAGTAAGCCAATCAGACACCGGCACCACCATCACACGCAACACGGCACAACAAATTTGCCAATCAGCCGCAAGGCTACAGACAGCTGCTTCCTGCTCAAGTTCGCGACACCTCAACCTGTGCCAAGTTTACTCTTGCACTGTGTCCTGTCTCAGTGGTAGACCTTTTAGAGAAGTATTCACAGACCCAAAGCAAAACCCCCTTACTACACTATCTTGGTCAACCGTATCCAGGACAGGCATGAATCCTAAACTGTACATTCTTTCACAGCCCTGGGGGCCTGTCCCTTTTATTTGTATCACCAGTTTTGACTGAACCTCTTCAGCTCTGGGCTGAGAGCGCTACATTAAATCTGTCTGACCAGAGCTGAGCATGACCCAAAATGAGCAGGGTTGGTTAGCCATGGATTATAACAGTCTAAAGGCAAAGTTCAAATGCAGCACTGTGATTATGATTGGACCGCTTTTTTGCACTATGTGCTGGAACAACCACAGCAGATAATTTGATGGTGGATCAATCCGTTCACCCATGAGCGCTGAGAGGATTTCTATGGCAGTAGTCAGCAAAAACACAATCTGACAGAAATCAAGTTAAACTGAGAGAAAGGTGCATGGTGACAGTGGTGGCAGTAAGAAAAACATCACTGAATACAATGGAATGCAGGTTTACAGTGAAAACTGGCTGTTAGTTTGGATGCCCTACTGTAGTGTCTTGTATAAGATAACTGCTCAGTACTGGATTAAGGGGAGAAAAGCCTTTACCTGGTCAAAGAAGACTGGGTACAAGTGAGACAGAGATGTGAATATGAAGATACCACTCCCCCCAGGAGTAAGAATATGGAGGAACAATAACAAACACAGCATGGAGGTGACCATCTTGTATTTCATGAATGGATGTTGGACATAAGTAACAATAAAGTATTTGTCTGTGTGCACGCATACATGCCTGTCTGGAGTCTTCATGAAGACTTTAGTTTTTTACAGATGGAGTAATTTTGTCTTGAGTAACTAGAATGCTGACTCTCAATTGTCTGGAGAGCCACTCCAGATAATTGAGCACCGAACAAAGCACGTCTGACATTACTGCTGCTCTGGAGGCATCCACTCCAGTGCACACACTGATCATTGCCAAAATATTGTCACTCGGGACACAAACTCCACCAAATGCTATAATTTCAAAAAAGCCACAGCCACTAAATGTGAGGTTCAGTCAGCTGAGGTTTTCTTGTTATCCAATGAAAAAAAAACAAATGCATTTGCTAGAAACACAACAATTCAACTCAGACAGTGACAGCACCCAACGCCGCAACACAAAACATAGGAAACCAATAGAGCAGATGACAGCTGGGGGAGTTCTTTCTTATCAGTTGACTGCATGTTGGATCTGTGTTGCTGTGGCTTACCTGGTGCTGACAAGGCTTATTAATTGAGAGTGGCATGATCAATGAGTTTTCAGACAGGGCTGGTGCTGCAAAAACCCCTCTTGTCTCTCCTCAAAAAGCAGGCAATAGGAATGACACAGTATAAATTCAACAGACAAGTTATCCAAGCCATTTCCTCCCTTTTCTCATCAGGAATTTCTGTCCATTCTGACACCCTGAAAAACACACAAAAAATCTAGCCTGCTTTAGGGGGGAAAAAAACTACAATTAAATTTTGTGCACTGACAGGTACGCACATACTGAGAGTGGAGTCAAATGGGAACTTGGAATCAGATGGTCAAGCACTGAAGCAGGCGCGGGACCTGTGAGCTAAACTTCAACTAAACAAACAAATGTGCCCCTCTGAGTGAGAAAGAGAGGGACAGAGAGACAGAGAGGGCAAACAAAAATAACAGCCAATTAAAGGCAACTGCATGCCTGCTCACTGCCTGTGCTCATTAGACCCTGAGCAAGTGGCTTCTCTCCCCACCCCTCCGGCTGAAGGACATAGAGTGAGCGGACAAAAAACGGTGATACAAAAAGCACAATCCAAAACTGCGATCAATGAGAGGAGAGTGGCCAAAAAGGGCACACAGCAAGCATTATTCAAAGTAACGGAGCACACATTCACTGTGATTAAAACTGACAAGGAGGCCAGAGGGCAAACAGGTTGGCCGTGTCCTCTGGGTGGGGAGAGCACGACTCATACTCATGAACCTTCTTTGTGGAGGGGATTGTCTTACTTTTCCGAACCAGCCCCAGCACATTACATTACATTATTGGCATTTAGCAGATGCTCTTATCCTGAATGCCTTTATACAGCTGGATATTTTCTGAGGCAATTCTGGGTAAGGACCTTGCCCAAGGGTGCAGCAGCAGTGCCCCAGTGGGGAATCGAACCAGCAACCTTTCGGTCCTGCTCCTTACCGCTATGCTACACAGCTGCCCCATATGCAATAACTCCTACATGACAGCACAGACTGTAGCATTTCCCATCAATGCCAGAATGCACTTGATTTTTAAGTCCACGGGTAGGCTGGTCTGTGAGCCCACTGATGGGCTCCCACTGAGGACAGGACAGAAACCGTGCCAAGCGATGCGACAGGAAGGATGCCAAGCTGGGCGATCACGCAGCAGGGAGAGAGCCGCACGATGACAGCGGGCTCGGCACGGAACACACCGCTGACTGTGGTGGAATGTGAACACCTGTTTTTTAAACCTGGAGGAAGTTGCCTGTTGGTGTGGAAGGCCCACTGCAGAGGAACAACAGGAGACTTTCCCTGGGGCCTTCACTGTCCCTCGTCTGTACCTGTCTGCTCTGCTGTAGGGGTGACCCCAAAACTAGCGGGCACAGGACCACAGCAGCACGCTCTCTCCAGGAATGGAATGCATTTCCGTGGAAACTTTCACCACAGTTATTTGGTCAGTGATGCATGTCTACAAAAGGCAGGGTCAAAAAAAGCCCCATGTTAGGCGAAGGTGTGTCAGGATTGTCGAATGACATCATAAACAGAACTCGCACAAGAGGAGAGGGGCGTCAGTGAGGACCACACAAAGGAAAATAAGTAACAGTATTAGGAACACAAACACAAGCCTAAACACTGCAACTGAAGCGGACAGAAAAAAGACACCCAGTCTAAAAAAAAAAAAAAAAACCTGGCTGCTTTTACATTTCTTCTCAATCTGCCTGGAGGAAACAATTTATATGTAATTGAATAGCGACAATTGTGTGCGCTGGCTTAGCGCGGTGCAGGGTGGTGTTCAAAGCCGGCCTGAGCGCCGGGTTCCCGCTGCACCCAGCTGGGAGATGTTTGATGTCGGATTGGCAGCGGGCTGCCCTGGCGGCCTCCGAGAAGGATCAGAATCACGTCTCCCCCCCTCGAGCCCATTATATCAGCCACACTTGCACTGTACTGCGACAAGCGGCTGGGAAATAAAATCGGGCTGCTTTAACCAGAAAATGGTAATCTGTTTATCCAACGCGCTTTGACAGGAATAAAGGCCGAATCAAGGCTCCAAGGCTAGACTCCACCCCCATCATCACAACGGACTCTCTCTCGCCAGGGCAAAAAACCATGGAGAAATGCTAATTTCACACAGCCATTACATTTGGATACACTCCTTTTTGTTTGCAGCGGAGTGCCTTCTACTGTAAGCCAGGACTTCAATGTCTCATTTCTCTCCCTGCTTCAGCTGAGGGGTAATATCAGTGCCTAGAGGGCAGGCTGCCAGCGTGTTGATGAATACTACGACCCTTTTCTCACAGTCTTACAGCCGTCTCAGGGTCTGCACTGGATAGGGGGTGTACAGCAGTCTGTCCCTGGAGTACCTCTCCCTGCACATCGCCATGGAGACTCTGGGGTGAGGAACGATCCTGCCGCCCGGTAGTCCTCAGCTCCGCCCTCAGCCTGCCTGCTTTATAGAGAGCCCCTCCCCCTTCACAAGCGCTGCCCTGACAAACCACATAAATCACAGGGAGAAGAGCCCCGCCCGCCACAACCATACCTCCAATGAGGGGAGGTTTGCTCTATCCACGACACCTCTGAACATTCTGCTTAACACTGAACGATAGATAATGAACTTCAAATGACCTTAAAACCATCCACGCACGGGTGCAAAGTTTGTCGGCTTTCCTAGAAGGTGGAGGTGCCACCCATTTTATCTGCAGAGTTGCTTCTGCTCACTGTGGTCAAGCTATCAGCTTTTCAACACAATCTGAAGTTCATTTCTGTGTGCACATTTTCTTGAAACTTGGTAATTACAGTGGCACTCATTAAGGTATGGAGGAGTTACTCGCACCAAGCACAGTTTACAGTCTGTGGTTTAGGGCGAGTTACTTTTTGTCATTTGAGTCAAATGGAAAAGTGTAAGTCAACATGTGCACCACTCTCCTATGTTAGTGGCTAAAAGAACTGCGCACTTCTCCCTCTTTAACTATAATTGTTGTGTGCTGACTTGTATGGCACTGTGAACCCATTTGAAAGGCCCACTTCCATTCAAAAATGGAAAATTCCATTTCCAAAGGTCAATTCTGAAAATTCGTTGTGGATAGCATGAAGGTGGAAAAACTGGGCCCGTCTCACACCCTCAACATGAGGAATTGAGCGTGTTAAAAAAAGGTTAAAACGGTTCGCTTGACACACATTACCGCTGCTTCAGTTTACAGAACCTGCATTGATGTCTAAAGGAACCATAGATAAACATTAAAAATAATCTTCCACATTCTCCAGGTCTGACATTTCACCCGTGCTGTCAGCGCAATTTGCTCTAATTTCACACAGACTCATTCAACACCAAGATTATAAAGATCATCTTTCATCCATGTGCCACTTCATGGAACCTTGTATTCATGAGCGTGAATTCTAAAGTTCCAGAAATCCAGCTCTGCTTAAGT